TAGTTTTACGCCTTTTATACCAGTTTTAGACGTGATTTAGCTTTTCATTAGTACTGAACAGTCGTGACATCGTTTTGATTGACACGAGTTTAGAGTTTAACCAAAAATTTATTTTCGTTTAAAATTTTTAGTATTTTAACTACAAGTGAGTATCCGTTTCCTGGTGTGGGGTGTGAGAGGGGACGGGCAGTCGAACGGTAGTTGATCGGGAATTGCGACTTAATTTTGTTTTGCGTTTGTTTTTCAGATTTTAATTTTTACGGAAACCTATCGAACGAAACAACGGAACCATTACTACGACACAAATGATGACACAAACGATGGATTCGCCGCTCAAGAAGTCGCCGCAGAAGGGGTCGACCCCTCGCAGTCAGTACTCGGTGTCCGAGTGGTCGCCGAACGGACGCCACGCTTACCACCAAACGAACGGCAGATCCAGTGGCGGTCGCACTCCTCCCCACTCGCGACGCAACTCGTCATCTGATTTGGAAACCATTGCCGAAGACTTGAAGTTGGCGTCACTGTTGGGGTCGCCCTCCAGACAATCATCGGTCGGTCTCTTGACTTCGGCGTTCGGTACCAGACGCCCGGTGCCGCTTAATAGGGCCGACAGTCCGGACCCAACAGTCGCTCCCAAGTCAGCCATCGACTACGACATCGATAGACGTCTCGAGGAGGCAGAGGCTCGCGAGAGGGCAGAGAGAGCTGAGAGAGACGAGTGGGCACGAGAGAGAGCCCGAAGAGAAAGGTTGGCCCACAATGAAAGCCATACCTACCGAGGCTTCGGTTGGGTTGGCGGACGTCCGGTCAATGGTAACTCAGACGACTCCGACTGGAGAGGTAAAGGCGCCCCTATTAGAGGCAGAGATCAGTCTGGAAGCCATGATTTGTCGCAAATGAATGGCGGCGAAGACGGTCATCGCAATGGGTGGAGCTATGGGTCGGTTGTGAGCGGATGGCCTCAAACGGGTGATGACTATGACTTCAATGGCAATCGTGTCGATAAAGTGGGTCCAAAAGATGATGGGAAAGGGAATGGAAGTGTGAGTGACGGGTATGATAGGCCTCCCAAACCCTGGAACTCGACTTCGGTCCTCAGAAAGACTAGCTTTGGCTTTGGTGGTCCTCCCAGTCCTCCCCAACGATCGAACCTCGATCCCGATCTACAGCCCGATCTCATCCGACTGATGGCCAGTGTCTTAACGCCACAAAAATGGCAGGAACTCATCGACTCTCTGAGGAGCCAAATGGCACCACAGGCGCCCACCACTACCACCACCACCAACACCACCAATCCTTTGGACCCGTCGGGAACCTGGGGCCCACCCAACTCCTCATCGCCGTCCTTCTCGTCGTTCCCATCGCAACCGCCGCAGTCGGACAGGAGGTCGGAACGGTTGGTGGACTTGCAGGCGTTGATGAAGAAGGTGTCGTTCCAGGCGAAGGCGACCTACACCTGGACGGGACAACTGCCGCGCCGTCAGCGCAACAAAATGCCCTGTTATTCAACGAAAGTTTTTCTCGGAGGCATTCCCTACGACCTGACCGACAGCGACCTCCACTGCCATTTCGCGCCCTTCGGTCCCATTCAGATCCAGTGGCCCGGAAAGGACATCCGGTCGGCCATAGACGGCGCCGCAGCCAACAAAGCGGGCTATGTTTACGTGATCTTCGAGTCCTTCGAGAACGTGACGGCCCTTCTCAAGCACTGCACCGTCAGCTACAAAGACCTGGACATGGGCTGCCGCTACTACTACAACATCAGCTCCCGGCGCCAGAAGGGCAAGGAGGTCCAGATGATACCGTTCGACATCGGCGACCGCTTCTACATGAAGAACACGTTCAGCGGTCAGATGGAGCACTCGAGGACGGTGTTCGTGGGCGCCCTCCACGGCATGCTGTCCGCCGAGGGGTTGGCGAAAGTGATGGACGACCTGTTCGGCGGAGTGGTGTTCGCCGGACTCGACACCGATAAGCATAAGTACCCGTTGGGCTCCGGGAGGGTGTCGTTCGACAACCAGGAGAGCTATCTGAAGGCGGTGTCGGCGGCGTTCGTGGAGGTGAAGGCCACCCGTTTCCGCAAGAAGATCCAAATCGACCCCTACATCGACAACGAGAGCGTGTGCTACCTGTGCAAAGTGCCGCAACAGTCGCCCATCTTCTGCAGAGACGACTTCCTGTACTTCTGCGTCGACTGCTGGGACGCCCACCTCATGGACCCCGAGTCCAAGAACCACAGGCCTATCGTCAAGAACAAGCCCAACACCCCGTAGACGACTGGACTTCCCATACAAATAACACACGCTTTGATTAATTAATTAAATATCCGATTAATATAATAACTTA